GGGTGAGACGTTGTTGAAACAAAAAAAGTTATGCATTCCATCACGTACATAAACAGTATCGTAATTCGCCAAGTGCAAATCAGCAAATTCGTAAAATTTTTGTTTATTTTGAACAATCCGGATAATCGAAAATCCGGATAATAGAGGTCTGGATAATCGAGGTTTTACTGTATTTTGATGTTAAAGGTGTTCTTTTTAAATTATAAATTAGAAATGCTAAAAAATATTAACATGTTTTTAGAAAATGGATATATGCAAGAAAGTGTTGGTAGAAGTAACCCCCTTATAACACAGGAGTTATGTTCCAAAAAATTGTTATGTTATGCGAATCCGTGTTATATGAAACAAAGAACTAGTATGAAAAGGGGGGTTAGGTTCCAAAAATTAAAAAACATGCTATTACATTTTCATAATTAAGATAAATATCTTTATTAAAATTTTCTTAAGAAGGGATACATATTAACATAAATTAAACAATGTTTTCTTCGTTGTCACTAAGCACTATTAACTGAGGGCATTTTCTTTTTGGCAAGATATCCTTATCCTCTGAGCATTTTTCTGCATTATTTTCAGATCCTCGCTCTACCTTTTGTAAAAAATGTTATTTTAGATTGCTTGCTTTTAGTTAAAAGATCTTTATAAATTTCCTTATATGGTGCTAAGCACTTATGAAGAATAAAGCAAGTATGGAATGTGGGAAAAACATCTGGCAACATCAAAATCAGAAGCGTCGAGATATGGCAACACTGAATCAAGTTTTGTGAAGGACCACGTGTATTGACAGAAGGTGGGAAAAGAAAATTTACATACTTAAGTACTTATAGTTCAGAAAAATTATGCAGGAAAATCTGATAGTATGTATGCGCTTGAATGAAAAATGTCAAATGAAGTATCTTTTGCACTTAAAAGCTTTATCACAATAATTGAACTGTTGTATGGGGATTTCTCTAATTTCAAATTAGATAAAGTTCACTTTTAATAGTTTTTATTACTGTACATTTCATGTTGTATGATGATTTTACCCAATTCTCAAATCGTGTTAGAGTGAATTCATGCTATAGAAGTGTCGTGTTATACGGGGGTTACTTGTACAATATTAAGATCATTACATTACTCATTAAAATATCTTTTTCAAAACTAAAATAAATATTATTATTTATGAACAGTATCATTTATTTTTTGTTAAAATTTTAATGTCTGAAATCACCATTTAGTTTTTCAATTAACTGAAATTCAATTTAGTTTCAATTAATTTCAATTTAATTTTTCAGTTATAATTAAATTATGATGATCAGTTTTCAATTATTATATATATTTTAACATTGTAAATTTCTACCTGTAGAAGTTACCATTGGAAAATTGCTGATTTCCACATATGAACTATCCATGAATTCAAATTATCTAAGTTAAAATAATCAAAAATTTATTTTAATAAATGTAATAATTTATAATTAATATTTTCTTAGTTGTAATAGTTAAAATAGCATTATTATAACCAATATAATGAGTAATAAATTTGTATCTGAATAATAATATATTTCTGACAATAATGATTTATGAAAAACATTTTTAGTTTTTGGAAATTGTTTATCTATCTTTTTTTTATATTAATTAATATGTATGTGTTTATAAAAGTAATAGCTTTATTCACCTTATTGCTGAAAAGTTTTGAATTATGGTTTATGAAGAAATATTATTGTATTAAAAATATCTGGAAGTCAGAAGCACAGTCTGATGTGTACAGAATTGACAATATCTTTTGAAACATGATTTTTCTACATCAAATGAATGCTTGAATACTTTTATTCATTTTCAACTACATGCATTATTGTGTTTAGTAAACTTGACAAATTTGCTGAAAGTAAATATAATCAAACACCAAACACTTGCTGAGTTTACTATTAATTTAATATTCAAATGCTTTCAGCCTATTTTTAATAGGCCATCCTCAGGAGATTACTGTTCTACAATCAAACACAAAGCTTTTCGAACATTCTTTAAATTTAAAATTTTCTAACATATTTTTATGCATTAAACTGATAATATTAAATAGTTAACAAAATACTAACATATTATATAATTAAACTAAATATAAAAAATAAACTAATATAACGAAAATATACATTAAACCAGTTATAAATACAACCTCCACAAGTTTAAGGGGTTTTAATTCCCATTTCCTTTTCTATCACATATTTCTAGGCTGTTGGAAGAGCATTAGCGTCTTTGGCATTTAAGCAATTGTTACTTACTTTACTCTTATATATCTCCATTTTCTCCATACGCAATGCAATCGTTGGAGAATGGACCATCTTAATTATTCTTGCCTCATCCCATTTTACATTCGCTTCATCTGTTTGTGCCATGATTGCAAAAATGGTATTGTTGTGTCCTTTACTAACATCATACTTGTGCTGTCTTATACGTATTGCCAAGTTTGTTCTGATTTTCAAAAGGAATTTTATAAACCTCAGCCTTCTCTTGCATTTTTACTTCATCCTTATCATTTCTTAGCAATCTATAGATGTTTGGCGCTTGTTTATATACCGTTCTTGTGCTTATATATTTATGTAATTCCTCCATTACTTCCTCTATATTGTTATTATATGTGAACTTATTAATCCTATTTTTTCTATTATCACGTCTGCTTGCATTTTTTTTTTTACATTTTGTTTAATTATATAATATGTTAGTATTTTGTTAACTATTTAATATTTACAGTTTAATGTAAAGATTTTAAAAATATGTTAGAAAATTTTAAATTTAAAGAATGTTCANAAATATTCAAAGCATACTCTTCCTATGCTGATTGCTTATCAGAGACGTTTCTAAGACAGTTGCTGTCAGGAGCTACACCACACTGCTGGCTGGATGTATTGTCTTTTATTTGGTTCTCCTTGTAGCTCTAACTGCCCTACTTACATTTGTTTGTGTCACAGGATCAGTCATTGATGTATATTAGTATCTTTTGTCTTTTTCTTTTTGAATTTTAGCACATTGAGGGTTTAGGAGTTTCCGTTCTTAAAAAAAGGCCCCGAAAAGAAAATAATTATAAAAATAATGTCCAAAACATAATATAACAATCGGACTTCAACTCCTTACATATTGTATGAATGAATATATTTCTGACAATAATGATTTATGAAAAACATTTTTAGTTTTTGGAAATTGTTTATCTATCTTTTTTTTATATTAATTAATATGTATGTGTTTATAAAAGTAATAGCTTTATTCACCTTATTGCTGAAAAGTTTTGAATTATGGTTTATGAAGAAATATTATTGTATTAAAAATATCTGGAAGTCAGAAGCACAGTCTGATGTTTACAGAATTGACAATATCTTTTGAAACATGATTTTTCTACATCAAATGAATGCTTGAATACTTTTATTCATTTTCAACTACATGCATTATTGTGTTTAGTAAACTTGACAAATTTGCTGAAAGTAAATATAATCAAACACCAAACACTTGCTGAGTTTACTATTAATTTAATATTCAAATGCTTTCAGCCTATTTTTAATAGGCCATCCTCAGGAGATTACTGTTCTACAATCAAACACAAAGCTTTTCGAACATTCTTTAAATTTAAAATTTTCTAACATATTTTTATGCATTAAACTGATAATATTAAATAGTTAACAAAATACTAACATATTATATAATTAAACTAAATATAAAAAATAAACTAATATAACGAAAATATACATTAAACCAGTTATAAATACAACCTCCACAAGTTTAAGGGGTTTTAATTCCCATTTCCTTTTCTATCACATATTTCTAGGCTGTTGGAAGAGCATTAGCGTCTTTGGCATTTAAGCAATTGTTACTTACTTTACTCTTATATATCTCCATTTTCTCCATACGCAATGCAATCGTTGGAGAATGGACCATCTTAATTATTCTTGCCTCATCCCATTTTACATTCGCTTCATCTGTTTGTGCCATGATTGCAAAAATGGTATTGTTGTGTCCTTTACTAACATCATACTTGTGCTGTCTTATACGTATTGCCAAGTTTGTTCTGATTTTCAAAAGGAATTTTATAAACCTCAGCCTTCTCTTGCATTTTTACTTCATCCTTATCATTTCTTAGCAATCTATAGATGTTTGGCGCTTGTTTATATACCGTTCTTGTGCTTATATATTTATGTAATTCCTCCATTACTTCCTCTACATTGTTATTATATGTGAACTTATTAATCCTATTTTTTCTATTATCACGTCTGCTTGCATTTTTTTTTTTACATTTTGTTTAATTATATAATATGTTAGTATTTTGTTAACTATTTAATATTTACAGTTTAATGTAAAGATTTTAAAAATATGTTAGAAAATTTTAAATTTAAAGAATGTTTGAAAAGTGTTATGTGTGGAAGTTATGGACGTGGTGATGAAGGTCGAGTTATTGCATGTTCTCAGTGTGGGCAATGCTATCATCCTTACTGTGTTAGTGTTAAAGTAAGTTGGTTGGATTTTAACATTTTAAATGTTTCTTTTTTTCTTAAAATGCTACTTACTGGTTTTGATGCAAATTTTTCTTTGAAAATTATTCAATATTATTTTAACTTATATATGTTACTGTGAAAGACTGAAATTAGAGAATGTCGATATTCTTCGGTGAATGTCGATATATACAAAATACGTCGGTGAAAGACTGAATGTTTGGTTATATTGTTATATATTCGAACAATCGCCGGTGTATGTCGATAAGCACAGATAAGCTTTGGTGGAGGTCGAAACAACACCTGAGAAGCNCTATTTAATATTTACAGTTTAATGTAAAGATTTTAAAAATATGTTAGAAAATTTTAAATTTAAAGAATGTTTGAAAAGCTTTGTGTTCAATTGTAGAACAGTAATTTCCTGAGGATGACCTAATAAAAATAGTCTGAAAACGTTTCAATATTAAATTAATTGTAAACTCAGCAAGTGTTTGATGTTTGATTATATTTGTAAGTAAACTGCTGAGGAAGTGAGGATAGTTGCTAAAAGTAAATTTTTTAAGTAAACAAGTAAATATTATATGCAAAAAAAAAAAAAAGCAATTAACAGTTTCTGATTGAATTTCTGTTCAACTAATATTATGATACATACTTTTTTTTTACTATTTGTTAGAGACCTTTCATAATCATAGATATGACAACATGTAGGTTAAATTCTTTTGGCTAATTGCTAACCTTGGCTATTTGCTCACAATTAACTATTCAGAGTTTGTACATGGTTTACTCAGTTTACTGACTGAGACCATTCTTTGCATTTGTTTTATGTTGTTTTTATTACATCTGCAGTTACTTTGCATTTAAAATTTGAATTTAAGCTAAGTAAACTTATAATCAAATTGTAAACTTTTTATGATAAAACTTATGATAAAAATGGAACGTGAAATGCAGAATCATCTGATTATCAATTTATACTTTAGTATTATTTTACTCATTTGTACAATATTTGTAAGGAGTCAAAGATTGATAATTATTTTATGTTTCGGGCATTATTTTTAATATAGTTATTTTTTTTCAGGGATTTTTTTAAGGATGGAAACACCTAAACCATTATTGTGCTAAAATTCAAAAAGAAAAAGACAAAAGATACTAATTTGCATTTATGACTGATTCCGTGATGCGAACAAATGTAAGTAGGGCAGTTATAGCTATAAGGAGAACCAAATAAAAGATAATACATCCAGCCAGCAGTGTGGTGTAGCTCCTGACAGCAACTGTCTTAGAAACGTCTCTGATAAGCAATCAGCATAGGAAAAGTATGCTTTGAATATTTTTTGTTTTTTTGTGGACATTTAAATTGATTGTTGAATTGATTTGATCTGATTTAATTTGATTGTATATAATCATAGAATTTCTTTAATTGTTTATTTTGTTGTTTGACTTTTGAATATTTGAAATATATACTAACTCTTGTTATAATTAATCATTGTTATTTATTTCATTGCTGATCAATTTAATAAACATTTGAATTTGTACTTATAAGTGTTTTGGATTATTATATTTTTTTGTTCCGATAAAGTCCAGGCCTGGCACTTAAATTGAACCCTAACTTGTGTAACCCCTCCTTTTGCACTGCATGGTACATTACATAACTGGACCGTTAGGCTCTTAACCTAACTGTCCAGGGTTCGAGTCCCTGTTCAGGTGCCAGTTATGTAACATACCTACATGCGGCACAAAATGCAGGATTATGCAAGTTAGGGTTCAATTTAAGTACCAGGCCTGGACTTTCTTAGAACAAAAAAATATAATAATCCAAAACACTTATAAGTACAAATTTAAATGTTTATTATATTTATCAACAATGAAATAAATAACAATGATTAATTATAACAAGAGTTAGTATATATTTCAAATATTCAAAAGTCAAACAACAAAATAAATAATTAAAGAAATTCTATGATTATATACAATCAAATTAAATCAGATCAAATCAATTCAACAATCAATTTAAATCTCCACAAAAAAAACAAAAAATATTCAAAGCATACTCTTCCTATGCTGATTGCTTATCAGAGACGTTTCTAAGACAGTTGCTGTCAGGAGCTACACCACACTGCTGGCTGGATGTATTGTCTTTTATTTGGTTCTCCTTGTAGCTCTAACTGCCCTACTTACATTTGTTTGTGTCACAGGATCAGTCATTGATGTATATTAGTATCTTTTGTCTTTTTCTTTTTGAATTTTAGCACATTGAGGGTTTAGGAGTTTCCGTTCTTAAAAAAAGGCCCTGAAAAGAAAATAATTATAAAAATAATGTCCAAAACATAATATAACAATCGGACTTCAACTCCTTACATATTGTATGAATGTTAAAATAAAAATACTAACTTTGATTTGTATTTTTTTTTGTACAGAATATCATCCTGAAACTAGAAGAATTAACTTTATTATTATTATTTTTAATATTATACTGAAATTTTACAATAACGAATCGAATACATTTATCTTTTATCATCATATCAGTATATAAGAATTATTTTAAAATGTTTCAGATTAAATTCTTACGTTAGATATTGTCATCAAATTTAATTGCTTTCATGTAATACCCTGCAGAAAAAACTATAAATTAATGTTAGTATTTTGTTTAAACTTTACACAATATCATATTAATAAGTAAAATAATACAAAGTATAACTTGATGATTAGACAGTTCTGTGTTTCGCTTTCTGCACTTATAAGATCTTTTATCATAACAAATTTTATGTAATTTGATTGTAAGTAAATTTTATTACCTTTTAAGGTATTGAAACTTTGAACTGAACTATATCAAAAACTTTTAAATGATTTTAACTGTACCAAAGTGAACCATTTATCTTTTATCATCATATCAGTATAACACATTCAAACAATTGATAATAGCCAGTTTACTTTGCCATTATTTTTAATATTGTGAAAAAACATATCATGTTGCAAGTAAAAGTGAAATGATAAGATTGGTGATTTAGTGTTTAATTATAATATGGGAAAATGAAACTATGTATTATTTTTTGTTGAAATAATTTTTTTCTTTCAAATTTACATATAATTGTTAAAAAAAATTTTTTTTACATAGGTTACTGCAATTATTTTGAAAAAAGGTTGGCGATGTCTTGATTGTACAGTGTGTGAAGGATGTGGTCAGCCGCATGATGAAGGTAGATTATTGTTGTGTGATGATTGTGATATTAGTTATCATACATACTGTTTGGATCCACCTCTTGATGAAGTTCCACAGGGTAACTGGAAATGCAAATGGTAAGAAACTAATGTCTTGATTTTTTAATGGAAATTTTAGATGTTATTGATATTTTATTTATTTTAAGCATATTAGATACATTTCATGATGCGGGAGGAAAAGAAAACAATAAATACAAAACTCTTGGTATTAAATACAAAACAGTACAAAAATTAGAACAAAATAACATTAATTAAATTAGATTTAAATTAAATTATATTAAATTATGGAGCATCTGCCAGTATAAAAAAATAACAAATAAATAATAATACAGTAATATTTCTTACCTATAAAAAACAAAATTTTAGTAATGAAACCACCAATTGACAGATGCTCCCAAACTTCTATAGCAGTAGAACCAAATTTAACGCCAAGGAATCATGCAAAAGATCAACAGACTGTTTTAAAAACAAAAGACTTTTAAATTGGAAATGAGGATCAAAGAGAATTTTAAGGAAATAAGATCTGACGAAAACAGTATAATAAAAAATTTTTACTTGTAGTAATTTAAAATGCATGCAGTAGATCAAAATATGCAAAACATCCAAAATCTTTTCTTCCACACAAAAACAACACAGTTCTCTGGAATAATTGTTTAGGAAATATAATGAATTCCGTAAACCTTGCCTGTGTAAAAAAAGACAGAACAATAAGAGACACATCTTGATTATATAATGAATTATCAAAAAAAGTAACATCCAATTCTTTATACCAGCTGTATATATTAATATACAGTAGAGCGTCATTTATCTGAAAGTTGGTTATACGAAACGTCAGTTATCCGAAAGAATTCCAGTCAGCAAATTTAAATTTTGATGATTTATTATAATGAATTATCAAAAAAAGTAACATCCAATTCTTTATACCAGCTGTATATATTAATATACAGTAGAGCGTCGTTTATCTGAAAGTTGGTTATACAAAACGTCGGTTATCCGAAAGAATTCCAGTCGGCAAATTTAAATTTTCGCTAGTGCTGTGGTGCTGCAATCTCTCACTATATCTTGGGCTACTGCAATATTTTTTTTTGTTGATGTGTGTGTTTTAGTTGGCAGCACTGGCACTTTTGTGTGATGTTTTTCTGAGTACTGTGTCCTGCTGAATCAAACGTTTTGATACTAGATTAACTGCTAAAGTATACTTTTTTTTGTTTTTATAGTTTTTAATGTATTTATTTTGTTTGTAAAAAATAAAGAAATAATTTTTAACGATACAATAGCCACGATTATTATTTTAAAAAGTTTACATTAGGCTTAACATCAATGAAAATTCAACGCAAAGCGACACGCAACAAAGAAAAATTTCAACATGGGATATTTTTTTTGTACATAATCAGTTATTTGAAAAATAAGTTATCCGAACAACTCCAGTCCCCAATTGATTTGGATAAACAATGCTCTACTGTACTATTATTTATTCTTCTATGAATACCACAAAAAAAAAAAAAAATATATATCAAAAATGTCAGTTAAGCGGTGTGACCAGTCTATCAACTTCATATTTCCACTTGTAAGATTAATGCCATGTTTATTACAAGTGCTAATGAGAGAACTAGTTCAATCTATACAATCTTTGCCAAGTAAAAATTTCAAACATATCTTACTTAAACAAGAGTAATGATGGTTATAAGTCCTAATAAGCCAATTCCTTAACCTTCTAACAATTAAAAGTTTTATAGGAGTCAAAGAATATTACATTATAACTAAATAGCCTGGTGTGCAATGAGGTAAACCAAATAGGTTTCTAATTAATTGGATCTGTATTCTATCATCATTTATTAAGTGAAAACCCCAGATTTATGAAGCATATTACAAAGAGGGAAGAACCATAGTTTTCAGTAACCATGAATAATCATTCATGTTTTGCAATCTAGCAGACTTTCCTAATTGAGCAATTTTATTTGTCAAAAGTCTAGCATGAAATTTCTTATTGGATCCAAAATGAACCATTGGTCGAAAAAGTGACTCCTAAATATTTGTAATCCAAAGAGACTTGAATTGGGAATCTTTTAAACCACTATATTTCTGCCTTCAAATTTTTATCACCTTTTCAGAAAACAATCACCTTAGACTTATTTAATTATAATTTCAAAACGTTATCTTCTAAATAAATAGTTAACAAATCAATCATTCTTTGAAGTCTAACCACAAAATCAGATAAAATTACAATATCGTCAGCATAAGCAAGTATTTTAATTTGAAAACTATTTACTTTCATGTCATTGCCTGAGGAGTTAATAGTGTCATAAGATCATTCTAAAAGATACTGAACAAAATTGGGCTTAAAATACAACTCAGCTTAACACTGGTCTTAGAAAACACTAAGGAAGAGCAGATACCTCTATCTCTTACTGTAAGCAAAGAATTTTCATGCAAAGAAACAAGTAATGACACAAACTTATAACTTAAACCATAACATAACATTTTTGACCACAAGTTTCTAGAAACACTTATCAAATGCGGAAGATAAATCAACAAAGAAGGCATATACCTTATTTTATTGATATAAGCCTATTACATAGGAGTTTTTGAATATTATATTTTGTATTTCATGGAGAATGCTTCATGTTTAGTTGTGTGATAACATAGCTTGTATGCATAAAATTTTTTAATTGTTATTACAACATCAAATATTAATTTGAGGGAGCATGGATTATTGACTTGTTTTTTATTTTGGTTTTCTTATATTCTAACCAAAAAGTTCTCACAAATTTTTAACATCATTTGATCATGTGAGTGATCACTTAGACTCTTGTTTTTTTATTTCTACTGCTTTAAATTACTCTATTCATCACAGAAAAATATTAAACATTGGCTCTTGCATGACATTTTCAGTGTTCGAACAGAAGATTAAAGGGATCATGAAGGAAATCAAATAATTTTTGTTATAATATGATATAAAATTTAAATAATAATAGTAATATGAGGGCTATTTTTTAAATAAGATCCATTTGTGAATGAGATAGAGAATAACATGCAATCGTAGCAGTGTGCATGCACATTCGCTCCCGGAATGCTTTGCATGCATTTAGACGCTATTTGCAGCCATATCATCTGTCTGTGTTCTGAACTATAGAAGTTTATAATGTTTAAGAAAATTGAGTCATCTGCCAACTGTGAGATATGATCTGTTATTTGATTCTTGAGTGTGAGAAACTTGGCAGTAGTGGAAATTCACTGTCAGATTTGTGAAGTTTATGGTGATAATGTTATGAATGACAAAACTTCAGCATGCCATACAAAAGAAGTGGCATTGCCTACTGTCTTTTGGTGTAGTGTTGCTGCATGACAATGCAAGGCCACATGTTTCTGCACAAACACAAAGTCTAATCAGTTCTTTTGGATGGGAACAACTGGATCATCCATCTTACAGTCTAGACCTTGCACCCAGTGATTTTCACTTGTTTTGGTACTTAAAGGAGTTTATTGGTGATCAACGGTTCAACGACGAAGAAGAAGTGAAAACTGCAGTCATGGATTGGGCTTCTTCACAGGTAGCAGATTTCTTGTCATTTGTTAAGTCAGAATTCAAAAAATTGTTGAGCGGTATGACAAATGTTTGAACAAAAATGGAAATCATGTAGAAAAGTAGATAAAAGTGTATAGAATATGGGAAAAAATATATTTTAATGATATTTATAGTATTTTTCTTCTTATTATAAAATGGACCTTATTTAAGAAATACCCTTTGTAACAGTACACTGTTAACAAAACACATAACTGGAAGACACTTGGTGTAGACAACATTCATAATTTTTGGTACAAAATGTTTACATCACTTCACAAGGAACTAGCTAAACATCTAACACACATCATCATTAATTTACAAGATATGACAAAATTTTTTACTCAGGAATCACCTACACGAAACCTGAAAAACAACAATACCACTGACCCTTCACAATACAATTACATGTTTTACAACACTCTTCAAATTATTGACATCCTTTATCGCAAACAAAATATGCAAACATGTTGAAGAACTCAACATTGTTACAGAATAACAAAAAGGGTGCTGTAGAAATCACAGGGGATACAAAGAACACTTACTCATAGATTCAGTCATTCTATGGCAAGCACACAAACTACACAGAAACATACTCATGGCATATATAGACTACAGAAAAGATGTAGATTGGATTATGTTGTTGAATAGTTTATTAGATAGTATGCTTATAATTAACTAATGATTATTGTTTATGACAATTAGTACAAACTTTTGTAATAATATTAGCGTTATCTTTGTATGATTATTTGATATATTGTTGAAAATGGATATTTGGGATTTGGAATATGAATAAAAATGAATGAAAATAGTAATAAAAAAATATGGAATTGTAATTTCATTCAAATAAAGCAGTTTCAATTGAAGTTTTAGAATTTTTTTTAGAGTTATTTATCGAGTATTATGTGATAGTTTTAATTTTATAAATTTTTATTATTTAATATTCACTGTAATATTACATTCTGTGTTATTATGTAATATCATTTTATAGAAAAAACAGTTTTATTAAATTTTATCTTATGAAACCATTGAAGAGATGAATTAAATCAAGCAACAAAAATTTTTTTGTTTAAGAAATATTTTTTCGTTGTAATATCATCATTGTCATTTTTTAAATAATTTTAACTTGAAAATTTTTGTTATTAAAAATTATAATAATTTCTTTTATAGATAATGAAAAAATTTTGTTATAAAAAATGAGAAATTTTTCAAAACTTGTAGTTTTGAAAAACTGAAAAGTAATTAAAGTTGTTATTATTAAAACCAAAAGTCAATGAGTAGTTGTAGCTAAAATAATTTAACTAAATTACATTAATAATAATGTAAAATATAATAGAAAATACATATCATTATAGGTGTGTGGTTTGCATACAGTGTGGTTCAAAATCTTCTGGTTATGGATCCCAATGGCAAAATAACTATACTATGTGTGGTCCTTGTTCTAGTCAAATGACATGCCCAGTTTGTCAAATGAATTATCAGGAAAATGATTTAGTAATTCAATGTATTCAGTGTGAGAGGTAAGAAGATGTTTTGTTTTATTAATAAAATTTAATAAAATAATGTTATAACAAATAACTTTTTATTGAATACTTAATGAAAGTATGTATTTTGTAATCATTCACATTCTATATTATGATATTTAACTATTTTCAAAATTAATTAAGGTGGCTACATGGAAAATGTGATCAAATGGCAAATGATGACGACGCTGAAATTTGTTCAGAATCTGGTTATTACTGCATTCTTTGTAGACCAAAAGATGAACTGCCACCTCACTTGATGCGTAAGATCAGGGATAATGGTAGAATTATTGTTTTTTTATACTTTTGTTTTCTTTATTAGTTTTAATAAATAGAAGATACTAAAATTTTTATATTTTATAATCTTAGTACTATGTAGAAAATCATAGGTATTATATTTTTAGATTTTTAAAATTTTATTTTAAGCTTTTGAAATCTGTAACAAAATAGAATTAAATTTATAATTTTTATACTGATTTTTTTTTTACAACAATGAGCTGGTTTAGTCAGTAGAGATTATTACTTTAAGTTATTATAGATTTAAGATATTAATACTTTTTATTTTAATGAGAAGTCATATATAATTTTTATAATGTTTATCACTTCATTTTCAGTAGATCAAATGTTTTTAACTTTCAGAAGAAATATTTTATGACACATTATCAGAATTGAAAAATACACATTAAAGAACAATGTTTCAAATAGGCAATATTGTTTAAAAAATATTTGTACAAGAACATCCAAGAAGTTTATTTTATCTATGCATTGTTATAAGTTAATACTTAAAACAACTATTAATACATAAAAATTTTTATCAGAAGAGTGAAAATTTCAAGCAGAAACTTTTAAAAGTTGGTCTGTAATTGTTTACATAGATGAAAATATTATTTTACTCCATAGCATGGTCAATGATTTTTAATTAATTAATTAATTAAACAGCACTTAAACACTAAGTCAATTTTTACCTTAATTTTTGACAGAGTTGAAAAGCCTTTTCCACTAAACTAATATATTCCATAACTAAAATTAAAAGAAATAATAATATGAAAAAATAAAAATAAGGTTGGTTCTGTCTCTTATAGATTAATATTATCTGATTATATTTATTTATTATTTACACTATGTATGTATACTTTAAACTGGAAAAAAAGTTGAATAACCATTAAGTGAGTTTTCCTTAAGGGGGACTTAGTTAATGGAAGCTATATGTACTCTTCACGTATCAAGTTTCTTCTGTGATGTTAAAAACATGTGAAAATTACTGATAGTTGACACTAACGAGGATAGTTGTTAAAATCAACATCTATATTATGTCTTTGTAATTTGATATCCTATGAAAAATAAAATCATTTTATCGAAAATAGATTTTCAACATTGTATAATATAGAATATATTCACTTAAATTATCAAAAATTAAGCTAATTATGATAAATGTGAATTATGATTATAAATTATCTTTCAACATTACTTTTTTTATTTAATTATCTCAAACTACCAATAGGTGGCAGTGTTGCTGTTCCTAGTACATTTGTACTTTTCTGGTACATTTTGCCCTTTCCAGTAAATTGAAAGTACATTTAGGTTTTTAGTACATTTTCAGTACATTATAATATTTCAAGTACCATTTTCGGTACAAAATAATATTTCACGCCTTGACGAAAAAATGAGAAAAATTAGTTTAATAAACTCTCACTAGTGTCACTGCTTGCTAATTTAAATTATCCAATCACAACATACAAATGGTGTGTGTCTGTCGACGTCAGCAACATAGATAGATGCACGTGTAAACGGTCTTGACTCAGTGGTCTTCTTTCATACATTCAGTTGTCTGCACATTCTCATCAGGACCTTGACAAAATTTTTCATGCCACGTGGTCCAAACAATTCAACTCCGTCAAACAAAAATAATGGACAGGTAAGGAAATCAATAATTTTAAACTTTTGTCGTCAATAATATCAAAATATCCGTTAAGTCAGAAACAAATTATTACAGAAAATAG